AACAAACTATATAAATGTGGCACTGTATTATGGGTAAACAAGTAGCAAAGTCTGTAGAGGCCTTGAAGCTGTATGTGTGCGTTGAGTTTGGCGAGGTTGCTTCTTTGGTTTGTCAACGAAGAACTAAAGTGTAAATATGCTTTTAGTTAGTTTCCACTTTTCTGGTATTTTGCCATTTGTTTTGATTGCAGATGTTGCTACGCTAACCGTCAGTTAAGACAAATGTAAAGAGTGATTAGTTTATTTGTAGATAAGTACTTAGACGTGTTGTCTACGTGTCGCATTAGCGCGTAGTGCTGCAACAGTCACTGAAGATATAATGAGCTTTGCCGGTAATCTGATTGTTACCACGAAGTTTCATTGTAGGGGTGCGTTGGGTATAGTATGGCTTATGGGTATGCAGTTACCGTTCCAATACTGCTTGCTTCACGACTTAAAAAGAATGTAATCAGGAATGGAGCTGCTCTTATTTAGTACTTTGCGACTCTAGTCTGAAGCCGGCGAAGTCAATCAACAACATTTACGAACACCTTTGTCTCTGTCGATAACAAAAATGTCTCTTTAGGGTATCAGGAATCAAATATAAGTAGTATTACGATATCACGTAACCTGGTAAAGCAAATCTTGGTTGAAATAAAGTTACTTGCAGAAAAAAAATATCGTTTCTGGCGAATCTCAGCTCGGGTTGCTGTACCAAAATCAATAGCTAGAGGTTTTATTTCAAGCCTAAGGATTTATAGAGTTGCCAAAAAAAGCAAGCGAGGTTCTCTCGTTATGAAAGAAATGTTTGCTGCCATTACTGGTAACAAAAATCTATGGTTATCGATGTCGACATTTTTTCAACTCAAGCCCACCAAAATGAATGATAAAGTGTTGAAGCAAACATGAGTAAGTATATTGACGTTTTGTCAGCATCTTAAGATCGTTTTTCACCCCAGTTGGTTGTCCGTAACTTGAATGTGGACGTGGCGATGTGGCATACAGATGTACATATGTACATCCAGACCTTGTGAGATCAGAATCCATTCGAACACAACCTGTATCAGCCGAATACTTTCGAGTAATTCTGTAATATAGATACAGCTGTTTTTGCTATTAAAACCAATTCCACACTACCTTCAAAAAATAATTATCTCACCCAAAAGAACGAATTGCCTCTTTTGGTAATATACATACATACGATTCTTGTTTCGAATTTAAAAACATTTAGTGGTATAGAGTACACGTAATATTTCGATGATACCCAAGCTAGTTATTTTCCGTATCTTTCTAATATATTAGGAAAAGACCAACGCTCGAACAAAGAAAGCAGAAAACGTTCTAATACGTCGGATACCCTAAAAAATATATATATAGATGATAAGGGTTATGAGTTGATTTAATTTAGCCATGTCCGTCCGTCTGTATATAACCGATATGAAATTCTGCACACGTCCTTTTCTTTCAAAGAATCGGTTCAGTAGACGAAACCACAGATATCGGACCACTATGACATATCGCCGCCATAAAAATTTACCGATCCAACTCAAGCCCTTGTATGGAAAACTCTTTCAACAAGATATCTTCATGATATTTAGCATGGATTGTTACCTAATCTCTAAAAAAAAAATTGTTAAGAACGGATCACTATAGCATATAGCTGCCCTACAAACTGACGGATCAAAATCAAGCTCTTGTTTCGCAAACTTTTTTATTTGTGAAGGGTGCTATAGCTTCGGTTCAATCGAAGTTTACATTTTTTCTTCCCTTTTTTAAAATATTTTTTGTAAAAAATTTTGCCGCACACGCGACACGGTGTGACTACCTTGATAGTGGCGTAGACAGGGGAGTGCCATAACTGTAAATATTGCATCTATTATATAGCCATGTACATACATATGTAAGTATGTGTGTATATTGATACAAACGACATTGTTGGCATGTGTGGGCAGGCAATCCGCAAGGAGAATGTGTAAATAATAATAATAATAATGGCAATAAAAGCACTTTGAGAAAAATGGCAATTGAAATTGAAATTCGATTTTCCGCTTTTACGAGATTTGCGTTTGTTTGCCTAAAAAGCACTCGTGTATGTGCATACATACATATACCGCTATTTGCATTACTTTTATCGTTTTGATATTTGCTTTTTTTTCGTTTGCGCTGCAAATAATGCAAACAAATATTGAATGCATGAAGATGACTGTCAACGGTGCAGTAATTGCTGTTGTATTTGTTGTTAGTACATGCATAAGCCTACCTACCGTCTATACTATGTACATATGCATGTATCTATGTATGTATGTATATATGTGTCTGTATTTGACTATCTCGCCATACCTAAACAAATAATGAGTAAAATGTGTTTTGGTGGCGTAAATATGAGGATAATTTTTTTTTCTTATTTTTTGTTGTTGTTGTTTTAGTAAGATATGTGTTTATTTATAATATGCGCATTTGGAAATTTCACAAAACCAACGAAAAATGTGCGAATAGCAAACTAGAGCAAATATGCGACTATGGAGAGAGTGGACAGCAGAAGAAAAAAATCAAAATAAAGTAAAATAAAACATTAATAAAAAACGTACTAATAAACTAAAACGGGGAGACATGAGATAAACAGCAATAAAAATAAGGTTACGGCGATTGAAGTCAGCTAAAATGCGGCGAAATATAAATATAATATGAAACAACAATTGAAGACTGTAGCTTTGACTACACAAGCGCAGAACGTGGGGGGAGGAGGTTAACTACAAGAATTGCGAATTTTGCTGGATTTTTAGTAAAATTATTGTTTTTTCAATTCTTTCAATAGCTGAAAACAAGCAATAATTTTTTACTAGCAAAAATACACCACTGTGCGTATGTATGTACGTATGTGTGTGTGCGTGTAGGTATGCATGTAAATTGTATTTGACGAGTGAAAAATCATGTAGCGGAAAAATCTATTCGTCATCGGCGGTGTCAGCGATAATACAAAACTCGTTACGACCGAAAAGAGCAACAAATTAAATGCTCAGTAATAACAACAACAACAACCACCAAATCAATTTAACGAAATTCATATTTCTTGGCTGGCCGACGCGTAAAAGATAAATGTGTACACATTTATTTCACATGACAAACTCGTACACGAATCGCTAATATGTATTTAAGAAAAAAAGTTAAAAAAAAGGCCAGATGAAAAAAAAATATGTGTGTAATGACAACAACAACATGTGGTGTTGCTGCTGCACGAGCAATCGCACACCCGCATATTCGCTCGATTTCGCATCACTACACATCGCGGCTGAAAACACGATGTAGCTTCGCAAAACAAATCTTCGCCCAGAAGACAATAGGCGCAAACATCAAGTGCGGGGTATTAGGTAGACAAATTATACAAACTACAATGCAAAATACTTGTTTTTCTACACTTAAGCGACAATCGCGCATATGTACATATGTAATTTTGCGATATAGAGTGGTGGCACAAAATAAATACACTTCTGCATTAATGTAAGCTTTTGTTTTTTCGAAAATGATTTAATGCATGTGGTATTTTCTGAATAATTTTTAAATTGTTTCAAAATAATTCGAAAAATATTTTAGTAATATTTTTGTAAATAATTCGAAAAATATTTTTGCAAATAATTCAAAAAATTTTTTTTCATACAATTTCAAAATATTTTACCAATGATTGAAAAAAAATAACATTTTACAAATAATACTTAGGAATTGATTTTTGATTGACAGTGTGAAAATCATTTTAAATTTTATACGTTTTAGTCGAGTTTAATGGTAAGTAAGTTAAAAAATATTTTATTTATTGTATTTTTTGAAGGGCATAAATTAAATAAATTTTGCATAGTGCACCATGTTTGCAGAACACATTATCAGTTTGTGTAAATCCCATCAAACAGCTCAAAACATTATTAGATTTTGGCCGTTGCGAAAAAATTAGAAATTACAGAAATCTAGTAGGCTAGATATCCTAGTTCGACTTATTGGCTATATTCACTTGCAGGTCAGAAAGAACGCGTTTTGTTCTTGAATTTTTTCTGAAAGGGCATTTTATTTATTTAAAAAAAAATAACTTAGATTTACAGAATTTAATGTACTTTAATAATTTGTGACTAGTTTTGAAAAAAGTAGATATTACCTCCGAAAAAAAACGATATTATTAACAAAAATCGTATGCGGTTAGTACATGATAAATAAATATATGCATCTAAGAAGGGCGTCTGAAATTTTCAAGTCGGTTGGTCCAGCTGTTTCATAGAAATTTTTGTTTTGGGAGACGATTACACTAAGTTCTAATTTTTTTTTTTAAATATTTGCCGCTCATATCTTTGAAACTATTTACTGTCTAAATTTCAACTTTTCGTATAATATTTTGAAATATTCATACATAGATACATACATTCAATAGGAAATACTTCTGGTAAGTACCTAATATTTATGTGAATAAATATTGTGGTTAAAAAATACTTATAGAAGTGATAAACTGTTATTACTCCATTTTTTTTACGCAAGATATCTACCATTAACTACAATAAAGAGAATACTACCGCTACAACAACATAAAGTGATTCAACTAATTGGCAGATATAATTGAATTAAGTAATTTATCTAAATTCAATCTAAAGTTTACTCTCGATTAAAATATAGCATTTAACGCACTGCAATTGTCATGGCGAACACTGTGTAGGCTTACATACATACGAGTATAAACAGGCATACATATTAAATCGACGATTTGCCGTTTTGCTCTCTTCTCCCACAATTGCTATAATTTTCTATCTGTATTTGTTTTTGCCTTTTTACCACAAAAGTGTTTTTTCACGATTTATTTAATAGGCGACTAGTTCGGCTTTTGTTATACATACACAAAAATTAAATTGGAAAGAAAAGAATTATCATGTATGTATTTGTTTAAATTTTTTATCACATGAATCTGCGAACGGCTAGAAGGCAAGAGATTAAAAGCATATTAAGGCACAAACGGATTATGATTTATATAAGTTTATATATAGGCTTACATAGGTTTTGCGAAGAAACACCTTTAAATGCAAACAACAAAAAAACCATATATAGAAAAGCAGCGAGTTTTAACAATTGCAACAATAATAAAAACGCCAGTCGAGAGCAGCCATAATATCTGCTTAATTATAATTACTATTATTGTTGTTGTCATTCATTTATTTTACCGATTTTTTGCTGCTTTTATAGCCATTCACTTATGAATTTATTATTTATTGATGCTGTAGATACACACGCAACAAACACGCGCACACACATATGCATTGTATATACACACACAAAATTTTATAGTGCTACTTTTCAGCTTGTTTTATGCATATAAATCGCTTTAAATGTCAGCACAGCCTGCGGTTTATAATTTTTATACGTTATTTGTTTTTTCAATATTTTTCAATGCTTATGGACTCAATTGGTATTTCTGGTGTTATAGTTTCATTAATTTTACGTTGCTTTTATTGCTTTGCTTAATTCTCATTTCGTATTTATTCAACGCGCTTTGCTGCCTGTTCGTTTTCATTTTTATAGATTTATTTTTTTTATATAATTTATTATTTGTATTTTGTTTGCTTACACTTTATCGTCACTTTACCTTCAATTTTAAAGCAAATTTTTATTGCTGTCACGAATTTCAATTATAAGTTAATTTGCATAAATAATGCTTTGCACTTTTTTGTCGTGTTTCATTTTACTTGAATTTATGTTTATATAGTTAGGATAATTTTATTTTTAATTGCCATGTAGCTAGCACAATTTTTCATACAAATATTTTTACACATTCAAGCGTTTACTCAAAATTGTTAATATTCATTTTCACTTCTCGATTTTTGCTTTTCGGCTGTTATTCAATAACTGACTAAACGCACGCTTGACGATTGTCCGATTAAGGTAAATTAAATGAATATACCAAAAAAACATGCTGTAACGCATATGGCGCGACGAACAATAACAAGGTATGAAAAAAAGTAACCACCATGAAGAAAACTCGTTATGTCGTCCCTAATGGTGGCCGCTACGTTGCAAGCAGGGAGGAACAAAGCAAACGAAAAAGGTTGGCTGCTTTTAAGGATAATTACATATTCAGGTAATGGTAATTGCTGTCGTCGCTGCGCTGATATGACTACATTGCACGAGCATTGCGTACTTGCATATATGTATATTTCGCTGTTTTTGTTCTTGTTTTCGCTTCATTTCAAGGGTAAACAAAGAATAAGGGTAAACGTGACGCAGCACAAACTTCTCGATAGCGATTTTATTGTGTTTTGGTAAATACCAATAATACAGAAAGTGCGCTCAGCGTTAAAAATCTAATATTTAATTGAATTGGTATTCCCTTATTATATTTTTTTTTTCGGTTTTCATGGTGTGCATGCAAGCATATGAACTGCAGATGGTATCAGTGCATGTTTTTTTAAATAATAATAATTCTCACGTTCTCATGCAACAAGCCTTTTTCACACCAATCTGCGAAGTCTAACCAGCTTGCAGCAACAAACTCTATTTAATCAATAACTTTACACCGAGTTAAACAATTATTTACAACGCGGTTAGCCGCCTATACATAAAATAATGCGTAAATTACGAAATACCAGCATCAACAAATGACACACTGTATGGGAGCAACAGTAGACAAAAGCCATCAAAACAAACTACAAATTCACCGCCAATTGCAACGCTATGCGCGCGCATTTGTTTTCAAAACATTTTTCGTTTGGGGTTTTTTCCGTTTTGCTTTAACATTTCATTTTTCATATCCACTGTTTTCATATTTTGGTTTCGTCATTTATTATGATTTTCTTCTACTTGCGATTTTTTCATATATATTGTTGTACCCATACTTGTCTTGTATACATCATTGCTGTATTCGCTTACCTTTTGCTTTAATCCAGAAATTGCGTCTTTGTTGGTGCGCTGCAGTTTTGTCTGCACAGTTGCAAATATTATTTGTTGTCAACTTTTTTATGTTAATTTTTTTATTGATATTCGCTTCAAACACTCTTGTATTTTTACTAGATTTCGCACACTTCTCTACAGTTTCGCATTCTCAACCCATTTACCACTTATGTAGTTTGTTTTCGTTTTTCTCGTTGGTTGTGCGCTCTCGCTGTTACCATTCGCGCAAACCGAACATTCACTCACAAAAATATACACAACTACACGCACTCCCGCTACATACGAACACACTCGATTACTCGTGTATACGAAAGATGAAAAATTTTTCTCACTACCTTCACTGTAAGCAGGTTTTTCGATTTTCATTCGTTGATTTGACACACTTCCGTCACGATTTTCATGCCGTTTTCACCACACTCTCTTACTTTAGTGATTGTTTTTCACCTTTTCAATAGTTTTATTAATTAATTATGACATTTTCTATATAAATATGCGAAAATTAACGCGCACACGATACGTTAATACGTTTGAGGGAAAAGCGAAAAAGTAGAATGCGAAATGTGAGCTTAGCTGCGGTTAATGTGGCGTTTCTCTTTGCTGACGGAATTCCGAATGAAATGTGTTCCATTAGATAGTCGTAGGTAGAAAACGTCAGTTGGCAGTGTTCACAGCCTGTGTAGTTACGAATTGGAAATAGAGAGAATGAAATATAGCCGGTACTTTTGAAAATTGGAGAGTTTTAATTGTGGTTTTGTGTGTTATAAGTTTGTTTTATTTTTAAAACAATGAGGAATACTTTTTTTTGGTTATAACAATAGTAATGATTTAAGATTCAATGACCTGTTGTTAGACATTGCACGTAGCGTGAAAGTCTTTGTTAAATTTTTTTTTAACCATCCGAGAGCATGGCGTGGCTTCCCACTTGCCGACCTAAATTCCAAAGTTTTAATAACTGTACTTGAGTCATACCAATATTTTTGTAGAAATAATTAATTTTAACTGGAGATTTTACTTTTAATTTAGGTTAGCCTGCAGGAAGCGTTTCAAAATTGTTATCTCACCAATATTTTCCTTCCTTTCCCTAGTAAATTGACCCTTTTATTTGCTTTATGAATCTGTATATGTAAATTTTCTAATCTCACCATGGTGGCTGTCTTCAAAAAAGCAGTAGATGTTTGAACCCGAAGGGCAGACCCCATAGCCGATCAGCAAAACTGTCCCGACGACTGTTCAAGATAAGGCCAGCGGTGATAAGGCTGGTTTGAATGCCTGACAATAGCGCAATCGCTGGAAACTGTATAGTCCATGAAGTTGGAAGAAAGGGCACTTTCGCTGGGAATGAGTTGGATCTCAGTTGTCCTCTTGAAGTGTAGATAGACGAATGTGTCTCGCGAGAGTTCGGTGAGCGTAGGTCAACAAACTAGTAATCGCACTGATGTGAGATACTTTTGTCCATCTACGACACTTTCTGCTCGACTGCACAACTTTTGCTAGACAAAGGTTCAAGCTCTTGGATGCTCCAACTGTCTCATGTGGTATATTTGTAATCACCGAATCCGCTCGAGACTTAAATTAATCTGATAATGCACATATTCTATCTCTAGAAGTTTGCTGAAGTTAGTTCTTCACAGCGTTAAAAAACATTGAGAAGAACTTGTCTTCCCTTGGTGCTTGGTGCCATCTTGCTATGGTGCTTGGTGCCCTTTGTCTCGATGTAGATGAGTTTTATTGAGCTCAAAGAGCTCACCAGAGCACATGTGCTGCAGAATGCCTAATGTTACCGACTTCATATGAAGACCTGTAGACCAGTAGAACCATACGAGTAAGTGGATAAAAAGAAATGAATGGAAACCACTCGTGAAGAACCACACTGCCTTCGATTTCACTGGACGTCTTCACGCCTGGATCTCCGAGGTCAAAAAGAGAGGATATTGACTGAACACCCAGACAAACTCTATGCTAGAAATTCTTAAACCCTTAACGACGCCCGTGTCAAAATCATCGCCATACCGCCAATATGGTAATTTTTGTACTGACCAATAAAGGCAATGGATTGGCGATGTATTCAAAAGTTAACTGAAATCAATTATAAAAAGCCAAACTAATTGGAAATATTTCAGTTATTTATACAATACATACATATTCCGACTTTAAAGATGGTGCACCCTGTTTTTTAATATTATTTGTACTATTATACTCTGAACAGCGTATATTAAGTTTGCCACAAAGTTTGTAACATCCAGAAGAAACGTCGAAGAGCATATACAAAATAAATGTATATAAATGATCAGCAAAACAAGCTGAGTCGGTTTAGTCATGTCCGCCCATCTGTCTGTATATACGCGAACTAGACCTTGAGTTTTTAATATCGATATGAAATTTTGTACACGACCTTTACTTCCCAAGAAGCTGTTAATTTTTCGAAATCGGAATCAAGTGCTTTTATGGGATTGAATTTGGGATGGGTTATTACTTAAAGCAATGGTGCCATGCACGAAGAAACTGTTCAGAGCGGATCATTATGGCATATAGCTGCCATACAAACTGAACGATGGGAATCAAGTGCTTGTATGGAAAACATTTTCATTTGACAAGATATCTTCATAAAATTTGGCATGGGTTATGGCCTAAGACAACGGTGCAATTGTTCAGATCGAGTCACTATAGCATATAGTTGCCATATAAACGGACCGATTAGAATTCATGTGAGGAATCTTTGTATTTGTGAAGGTTATTATAGCTTTGGTGCAACTGAAATTAGCGTTTTTGTTCTTATAACTTTTATGTTGCTATTCATTTTCACTACTTTGATTATTGTTATTGTGAATATTCCTATATATATAATATGTTCTATTTAATTAATAATTAGTCTTTACACTGAAAATTTGTTGTTTATAAGTGAATTTTGATGCGTACATTTAGGCGCCAACCAATTTTGTATGAGAATGTCTCCTAAACCTGAAAAATATGGAAAAATAAGACCACTTTTTTGTGTGTTTTAAGTATGCGTTATTTTTTTTTATTTTATTATGCAAGTCTTTCTCACAATATCTTTTATATGGTATTTATCTATTATTTTATAGTATCGTGGTTCTGCTTAATCATCTGCTAGTAATTACAATATATTTATTTTAGCAATAATATTTATTATGCACATTTTTTCATTCAACTTAGTGTAATTATTTAATTATCATTTATCAAGTAACGTTATGCTTGTATAATACATACAGACACATATTTGCACTTATATGACTATGTATGCCTTGATTATGCTTAAATGTTAAACCTATGCATGCATACATATATGTTTTATATAAGTACATACATTTACATAATCATATATATGAATATATTTATTGAATGTGTTTGTAAATATGTATTGGGGCTGTGATAATGATATTTACCATTACAATTGAGATTTTTGATAGTTTCATTATATTTGCTCATGCATTTTGGCTCACATATTTGGCATTTCGTTTATGTCACACTCGTTTGTGTGTGTGGATTTGCATTTGCATATGTATTGATGTTTGTGTTCGTTTTTTAATATGCTTTTAATTTTATTATTATTTTTTACTCAATACAATTACATAATTAGCACACATACTTAAATTCAATTCGTTTAGTTTTTTATATTATACATACATATTGTTCCATATATACCATACTTATGTAGATATGTTTTTGGTATTTTGTTTTTCTTACATTAAGAATTCGATAAGTATTTTTGATACGTTTTGGTTTTAATTTTATTTGTCCTTTTTTCTCTTTGCTCTTCTTTTAGTCATCTTATACGCTCAGTACTTATTTCCTATTCGTTTTTTTCGCTTAATTTCTTGGCTTCTGTCTTTACATTTCTAGGAATGCATTTTCTTTCACCATTTTAAGTTGTTGTTATTGTTTAGCTAACTTACGGTAAATCATAAATTATATGTTTTTGTCTTAATTATTGGTTTTAAATACATTTTACAAGTTTTCGAAGCTTTTTCTGGGTTCTTTTTTAAGCATTTTGAAATAGCTATATGTTATTTCAAAATAGTTCCCGCTTTCAAAATCAAATCTTGTATCAGCTACAATAAAGCCTAAGTAAGAAAATAAAAAACAAAAACAATTTAATTATAGTAATTTCGCTGAAATAAATTTTTCATAAGGGAAAATAGTACCACTTAGCAGTCGAGAAACTGTTGGTAAACGATTGAGAGAGTGTTGAGATTTAATATATGTATTTTTGGTAAAATTTTTGATGCAAATTGAAAGATTTTTCGTCAAACACATTTTTGTGAAATTTCTATCATTAAACTGTAGAAAAACTATTGGGAAACCTTTTCGATAACAAATTGATTAATTTTTTTTTTAAAGACACATTTTTGTGTCATTTAACTGTAGAAAAATTATTGAGAAACTGTTGAGAATTATTATTTTTATTTTCGGTAAACTTTTCGGTACAAATTGATTCTTTTATAAAAGACATTTCTGTTAAGACTCATATCAATAATTTGTTGAGAAACTATTGAGAAACTGTTGAGAAATACCTTCCTAAAATTTAAGAAAGTATAGCAATTTATAACATCCACTTTATTTAGAATACTACCAATAATATATTGAAAAACTATTGACAAACAGTTGAGAATTACGGATTGTGTTTTAGGTTAACTTTTCAGTCATCTTTGTAGAGAAGATATTGAGAAACTGTTGAGATACGACGGTTGCAGCTTTGGTTAAATGTGCATTGTGTAGTACAGTGTATCAAAATATTAGAGTGGAATAAGAATATTGTTAATAGTTTGTTGAGAAACTGTGGAGAATCCCAGGTTGCGTTTTTTGTTAAAATTGTTATCAATAATCTGTTGAGAATCAAAATTTCCAATTAAGCAAATAACTATATTAAATGCTGCAATAATGAAACTTCACAAACTCAATATTTTCTTTTTTAATGATCTAAAGCAAGTATAAGAAAATCTTGAAATAGAAAGCAACAACAACATATTCTCAATATATTGTGGAAAATACTTTAAATTTATACGACTTTTAGGGCTATATCCTCCGATACCTAAAAAATCCATCCTTTGAGAAATATGCTGAGCTCCAAAAGGAAATTTATCATCTTTGAGGGTTAATTTCGAATCTAAATTTCATGGGTCAAAATAAATATTAATTGACAGTTAAGAGAGTGGACTGAGAACTCCGAAGATCGAAGATCACTTTTTAATTTGAACGCTTGCATCAATTTCTCTTTTAATGTTTTAACATAGTTAGGCAACTAACGAACAAACAAGCAAACATGCTGAGTAAATATGTATACTTATATATCTATATACATATTATATATATATATATATATATATACTTATATATCTATATACATATATATATATATATATCTATATACATATATATATATATATATATATATACTTATATAGATATATACTTATATACTTATATATCTATATAAATATATAGGAAATAAATGCAATAAACTACGCTCGCCTCTCGACCGACTGTGCTGTGACTGTCGTTGAAAACAACAAATTTGCGATGTAAAATGTCAAATAGAGCTTCAGAATTGTGGCCAATGAAGTAGCTGGAACGCTACCCCGCGCCGCCTCCTCGATGCCTGTCAAAAAGCAAAGAGAACAAAAAAATTAAATGGTTTAGAAACTTTGTTTTTTTTTGGTTTATGTAACGGAACTCACCACTTATGAAATTGAGATGATCATCATTTATGGACGCGATTCCGGGATGCAATTTGATTTCTGAAATAAAAATAAAAACAAGAAGTTAAATGGAACTTTTGAAGTAGATGGAGTTAAGAATACGTTGAATAAGAATTTCGAATCGGTGCAGAGCTTATACTCGTATAGGCAAGTTCTCTAAGTGAGAGAGTTCCATCCACGACTTTGATTCTCTACACTATATATTGTCCTTCGGATTCCTTAACACGTCAAGATCCCTTGACATAAAAATTAAGTAATTTTGGATCATTTGCCCCCTGTTTGAATAAACGTCCTCACCTTTCTTGCTAAAATCATTGATGATACGACGTTTTCTGATGTAATAACCTGCTCCAGGTAACCTATATTGTTATACTATTGCAAAATGTTGCTACAGGGTATGTTATAATAGTTTTGTTCACCTAACGGTTTTTTGCATAATCTAAACTAATCGAGATAGTTATAGGGTTATGTATATATAAATGTGCAAGCTGTAACTTGAGGAGAAATTGAGATATCTTGATGAAACTTGGTTTCTTGGTACCGTAAGAAGGTGGGTATTGTAGATGTGTGTAATCGGACATTAGCCACGGCCACAAAACGCCATGAATCGAAAACCTATAAATTGTCATAACTAAGCTTCACAGTAACTTATAAGACTGCATATGCGGTTTGAGACATTTTGAAAAAGTGAGCGTGGCCCGCCCCCTAATAGATACGACATCTCTTACGACAGTATAAAAATAGATGAAATTGGAGGATAATCCCGCCCACTCCCCATATAAAGGTTGGATTAAAACCACTTAAAGTGCGATAAATCAATAACTAAATCCGTCAGAAACATTAAGCTTTACAGCCAGGATATGCTTTATAGGAGTCGGTGTCAAAATTTGACTATGGGAGTAGCACTGTCCACCTTTAGGTGAAATTCTACATCTATTCGACCTACTTCCTATATAAACCAATTTTATGGTAACTTTCAAATAATTATTTAACTTTACAGTACACAAATAAAAGTTATATGAATATATCGGCATAAATAGTGCCTTTAAGACATGCAATTGCGTCTAAAAATTGTCAAAATCGGACCAAAACTATTCAAGCCCCATATAACGAATATGTGACCCCAGTGCTAAAAATATTTCGGTGATAATGTTGTTTTGATAATAATATAGTCTTGTGTCAAAAACGTTAAATCGGGTCAATATTTCCCTTACGCCCCATATACCTGATATAAATATTTTCGAACTTCCAGGAGTTATATGAATAAAAATGAGATAGAGTGTTTTTTAGTCATAACAGTGTATCTTTGTGCCTAAAAATTTACTCCATATGATTGGTGATGGTATGTGAGGTAACCTAATAATGGAACTGGGAGTATTTTATTAGTCTGTAGCATGTTAGTGGTATATGGTATTGACAAAAATTGATAAAATGAGGATATCCTATATACTAGTTATAATGATTTTCGTTATTCTGCTATGCCAAATATGTCGGTCAGTGAGTATTATTTATATATAAAAATGCTTTAAAATATGTTCCCGAGTAAACCAGTGCAATGTCAAAATTAATGCAATTTTAACTTTCTTTGTCCCCAATATACCCTTTAAAATGATTTACAGGTCTTTCAACCTGTATTTGAACCGTTATGGTTGATTATGTGTGTGTAATGTGTGATATTTTAGTGAGATTAATTGGGCAAGTTTTCTTAAAAATTATGGTATGTGGTTTAGCGCTGAATTCCAATTGACGATTTTCACAACAACTAAATATATGAAGTTTAACCACTTCGGTCGAGTTAATATCACTTATATACATATATCTCATTTGAAGGTGTTTTTAATATAATTTTAGCAGACGCGAAGTAAAATATAGCAATAAAACTAAGTCTAACTTTATGGCCCTCAATACCTATAAGTCAAAAATATACCAAATTTTATTGTAATTTATTCACGAGTTTTTAATATAACGTTTTGCCAGCACCTAAAGGAATTTCCCGTGCTTTGATTCATCTAAGTTGCAAGACTATAAATTGTTCGGTTATACCCGAACTTAGCGTTTCCTTACATGTTTAGTATAAAGTTTAGCAACACTTGACAGATTCTTCCGATAAAAATTCAACGAACGATTTATTAATTCTGACTAATTATTTTAACTTTCAGAACTGGTACATTACTTGATAAATAATCAATTCATGACATCAATGGATAATGCTGTTATAAATAATGCGATATGGATTTCAAGATATTGTATATTCATATAATATATTGGTATATGTCAATATCATAAAGTTTCGCCTGACAATGAGCTCTTTTTGCAAAAAATAAACATTAAAAACACCATTTATTTCCCTTAAATTATTTCTATCACCACATAAATAAACAGTATATAAAGATATTCATACTTACCATAGAGCCTTAGAGTACCCTCTGCACGGCCTAGGGAATTCGTGCTCACGCAGTGGTATGTGCCAACATCGGAGGGTGAGAATGAGCGCACGACCAGCAGCATCACGCCACGGTAGCCATCACGTTTTTCCGTTATGCCATATTTAGGACTAGAAAAAGTGTAAAGGGCATATGTCATTGTTTTATGGGAAAAGTTTTTATTGCTTAAATAAGGTTTTATGCGTTTATCGCACACGAATGTAAATATGTGTCTAGAATGTTTAAAAAATTAGGTAATTGCAATTATTAACACATGTTTGAGTTTACAATTCCATAAAGAAATGGCTATTTGGTGAAAAATGTCAGATCACATGATTATAGAATTATCACAACACCTGTTGTTGATGTGATATCATATTAGCGCATCACAACAATATATCATGTGATTTTATTTTCTAAATAGTAGTAACATTTTAAAGTATAATATGTCCAATCACATGATATAAAGTCTTATCACATGATGTCTTAATTGTCGTGATGACGAATAATCCATTTCGGGATGCCTGTCTGTCTGTGGTCGTGTTTTTTACGAATCTGGCACAGTTTTAGAATTAAATATTTGGTATTACAAATTGGCAAAATCGGACCACTGCCACGCTCAGGATCGGCGGAGTCGGACCATTGACCCAAAAGTCCAGTTATTACTAAATCAAACCCATACGGTTTAATATTGTTCATATCATCGGTGCTAAGCCACCAGAGCACAGTTACTGCACCATTTTGAGTTCGGGAAACCTAATATTTTTCCGAATATCGTCAGAACAACGAATTAAAATGAGCAATTTATGAAATTTTTAATAGAATAATTTATGACGAAACGAAGTAGGAGGATATTCGGTTCATAATTTCCTCCAGACTTCCTATACATAATAGGATGAAGCCCGCTTTCCGGTTAAATTTATGATATTTCTCGATCAATATATTAGATAAATCCTTAATTAAAAGGGAATAGTACCACTATTAATGGTAAGGAGTAGCCGTCGAAAGAGGCACTGATGCATTTTAGTAATTTCGATTCGAAACTTGCGGAGATGTTGATCTAGGAGTCTATTGTCGACGACTCTTGATCAGCTCGAGTTGCAGGCCAAGATACAGCTTTTTCAAGCAACGCAAACTGATGCGGAGAACTGAGCCCTCCCTTGTGGATCTTACACCGTCTGACATCCAGGTGCACTAGCTGGAATTGAAATAATTCTCCTAATAATTTTTCATATGTTCAAGGCGCTTTCTCGATACATGATATCGAACTTCGGGAGTTTTTTTGGCATTACAAAGGATTCCTCTTAAGCTGGCCAAGTGAGCTTCTCGTCTTGAACATATTAAATTATTATTTTCAATATTTACCCGTCCAAAAGCATTTCCGGCCCCGGCTGTCCTGACTCTAAATTTGAATTCGAGATGCTCGCATAGCCACTGGGAGTGCGGGCACCCTTCAGCCAATAGGAGACAGGCGATGGTGAGGCCTCGACATGACATTCCAGTTGTACATCCGAGCCAAGTGGTGTGCCTAACAATTGACTGGGAGCACGTACCATGGGGGCAACTAAGGAACGGCAATACAAATGTGAAATTAATTACAACAAAATTGAAGAAGTTTACTTGTAATTAAATGATGAAAATAAGCATATTCTATTTTTTCTTTTCAATATTTTTTAAAATAAATATTTTTTAAACCCACATTGTACACTGAGCGAAACGCGTTTACTAACTGCCGGTGGGACATCATTCGATGCAATACACAAATAAGCGCCCATCTGGCGCCGCTCCAAGCGCACCAGCCGCAAAGACGAGCCACTATAGGATTCCACTAAAAGAGAGAGTAAAAAAAAAATAAACAGGTGATGGTGACAAAAGGAAGTCGAAAAAAATGCAAATTGAAATAAAAGTGATTGAAGAACTTTCACATCGTGTGACCTGAATGATTTATTGACTTCAAAGTGTCTATAAATAATCGTTTATATACTCGCACTCGCACACACGATGCGCATGATATCAAACTTCATGGCGTTCTGGCCTCGTCGCATGCACACGAGTATGAGTAGGAGTTGACGAGCTACATATTAACACACGTACATACCTTTCATGAGTTCACGACTTCCCGGCTTGCGTATTAAAATCATATCACCATCTTCACGACGCCAGATGACGCGCGGCATTGGATTGCCAGTCGCCTTGCAGGTCAATGTGGCATCCTCTCCTTCTTGCACCGCCAAATCGGCCGACGATTCTTCGTTGATGATGTCGGGTGGAACTGCAAGACAAGCAGACACACAATATATGAAGACGTGACGAAGATATATATATACACATATATATAGATATATACACGAACGTGTAGTGTATACAAAGTGGCGTTGAAGGTTAAGTTGCTCGGAAAAAAATGCTCAAGATTATACGTGACTTAAGCGCATTGCAAAAGTGAAGTGGCACTGATACTGCTGACTCTTCATGGCGCACAAATTATATGGCGCTTCTCGATTTTTTCCTCCTTTTTTCTTGTGCAGATAATTAAATAAAGCTGTTGTGCTTGGACTCGCATAAATGCTTGCTGCCAGTTGTTGTGAAGGACAGCGCCGTAATGAGCTTCAAATTGGCGAATGAGATTTTACATTTATGCTCATTTATGTTGCGTTCATATTTACATCAGGTAATTCAAAATTTTTTATTGAGTGTTCATTTTATTTGTAACATTATTAAGGATATTAAGGCGCTTGTAAGGCGTAATACTTAAGATGTTAATGTTAGGTTACTTGTATATTCACTTTTATGTATGTATATACGAAATATTATATATATACATAGTAAATGCAGGCTACAGGTTTTCCGGTTTTACAACAAAGAGAACACTAACGCCAAAGAGAGCATTTACGATTTTTGTGATGGTCGTGCTATAGTTCCGTTTTTATTGTAGTCAAATTTTCCAGCGCGACAATTCTATCTATATTTTGTTACTCTCGCAATTTGTTACTACAGAGTATACTAGTTTTGTGACTGTCTGTCCGTCCTTCCGCTTGTCCGTGCATATGTTTCTTGGCACTAAAGGGCAATCAGTACTGCCGATGGTCGTAATGGGAGCACTGCCACACCCACAAAACGCCAACAAAAGAAAACATATAAAGCAAGATAACTCACTGAATTAATGCACCACAAGCATTTAATTTCACAAACAAGATGGTAGGCTTTATAGTATAGTAGGTATACAAATTGGGCGTGGCACCTCCCACCCTTAACTGAAATCCTATATACATCTCAGAAACTACTTGACCAATTTCAACCAAATATGGTATGTGAGGCTACCCAATCATTTCTATCACACACTAAATGGGCGTAATCGGATGAAAACTATAAAGAAACTTCTATTATTTCACTTCACAGCATAAAAATCAATGAAGTTATCCGAGTAAATTTGCATTTTGCACAAATAGTGCCCTCAAATTAATTCATCTTAATCGCAAAAATTGTCGAAATCGGGTTATAACTTTTCAAGAACCCAGACAGTAAATATGTAATAATATGCCCCAGGGTATTTGGCTAATTTTTACCGAACATAGCGGTTAATCTGTGAGGTTTAGTACTGAAATTTGGGGAGAATATTTTTAGGGTGACAGCATGCCCCTGTACCGAAAATGGGTAAAATTGGGCCAATACTTCCCTTAGCCCCCATATACCTAATATAAATATTTTCGAACTTACGGTTGACTTTATACCGCATCTATCGGTCAATATCTAAGAAATCTGAATGAAATTCAGAAATAATATATTTCTAATAACAGTCTATGCTCTTGCATGAAATGGATAAAAATGCGACAGTACTTTCTCTAGTTCAATATTAAGTTTTGCGAGAGAATAAAATCTTCGGTTACACTCGAACTTAGCACTTCAATAATTGTTCATACAGTTTTCTTCAATGATAACAATGGGTTCTCCGTCTTGAAGACCAAAAAAATAGTTTTTTTTTTTTGCTAATAAGAAGTATTACTATGATCAATCATGATTTTAATTTTGGAATTAGAATTTCTATAAACAAAGTGGCACCGTTTAGGTTTGGCATATCGAAAGAGTTTGTAGGTCACATAAAGTGGTTTCAGTAGAGCTTATTGGATAACCTTAACTTGGGCGTTTAATGCTCTATTGAATGCAGAACTTGTAAGAGTAGATTTCTCGACTCCTTTTTAGGTAATTTTAGTAAGAGTTTTGGGTCAAACTTAAGAAAGCTGGCGATATTATTATAGACAGACAGACAAAACATAATTTTTTTCTGTTATTTAAGCAAAACATGTAGATACAATAGTATTATTCAAAGCATTGTCCAGTCGATTGCTATAATATATTCTTATCTTTCTGTCAATTTGTGGATACCAGCCCAAAAGACTACGGACTTGGCAGCCAAGTAAAGAATCAAGAAATTTTTGATACTCTGTTTTGAGGCGAATTTTCCAGTGAGGGCGTTTTGCAGCGGCCGGAACGAACGATAGTCAGAAGCGCAAGGTCTAGCATATAAGCCGGGTGAGGAAAACTTCCCAGCCGTAGTTTTCCAAAAGCTTTTAATCGATATTGCAACATGAGGTCGATTGTTGTCATGATAAAAACCTATTTGCCTCGTGTCTAGTCGCAACTTCATATTACAGCACGCACTTCTCATCCCATTAAATACAAGGCATTACCCTGTCCTAATGGATATTCGCCTTTGCCGTTGGTTGTGGTAATGAATGTAGTTACAATGCGATGCAAAAAAGACTTCTTTTTGTAGCGTTCAAGCAACGATGAGTTGATTTTGAGGTAGCTTTAGTGAGAGTTGTGGATCAGACTTAAATAAATTAGCAATTTTATCATCGACAGATAGACAGAGCGTACAATTTTTTATGTTCCTTTAGCCATCAGAGTGACGGAGACTTTTAGCCGTGGAACCTAACCTTCCGTTGTTGTTGGGGGTCCTTGTTTCTTTGCCTTGTTTTGCATTCGATGGATCTCGACAACAGTTAACCGTATGATAGATTTGCTAAGGATGAGTTGATTGCCCTTAATAAAGAATTTCACCGCTTGCCAAAACTTAAAGTCTGCTAATACTCAAAGGTGGGTAAGTAACAAGCATTCTTTTTAGATCAGACTCAGTGATAGACTCTTGTTTCATTAAGCAGATATATCCGTCTCTCTAATGCATAGATAATGGCGTTTTGTGTCATCTGTAATTTATTAAAGCGTAAAATTTACCCATAACGATCAGATAGCCCTCAAAGCTTTTGAGAATATTCAGATAAATTTCTGGAAATCCTTTGTGATTTGGAGATATAAATGGAGAAAAGCTACATAGTCATATGACTTCTAAAAAATTGTAAATTAATTTAGTGAATTTACAAATCTCTAGCAGAGTAGTGTTTTCATGTGTTGCTGACTCTTGTTATACAGTTAGCTTATGAAGCTTTAAAAAGCTTATCTTAAAAGGTACTGACTTTATTTGATGTTCTAAATTTCATAGAACTTCCTAACCCTTTTTATTTTATCTTACCTTGTACGTCGATGCAACCAATTTGCTTTTTCATTGGACTCGTATTTATTTGGCACATATAGCAACCGCGATCACTTTCGCGCAATTTGCTGATCTTCAATTTCCAAGTGTGAGCATCTTCATGTATGACGCTTATGCGAGCATTGTGTGTGACAACGCGACCTTGTAGTGCGAGCACAGTTTGATCGGAGGCACGTAACCAGCCGACCTGTCGGTGGGAGAGAGAGTGAGAGGAAGAAATAGAAAATAAGGCGTCAACATTACAAGAATAAGCAACAGTATTAACAGTGTTGGGTTAAATGTTCGACCACACATTTGCTTCTAATCAAATCTATAAATTAGGTTAATGCTATAAAAGCTTATAGCTTTACTGAGCTTTTTACTTTACTGAGAATTGTGAGGGCTGATACATTCAAAATAATGATCCTGGACCCGGAGGAGATCCCGATATTCCTTTAAATCCTCCGATCTGGTAACTTGTTCCTACCTTTTGTCTAAGATGAAGATCGGGCTTTCTCTTATCCATATATAAAAAAAATCAAGCTTGGTAATTCTTCAAAGCTTTAATTTACCTAACTCTACTCTACCATTTTTCATACAATTTTCGTATAAAATAAAGATGGAGATTTCACTTTCTTACTTATGAAAAAATACAATAAAATCAGTCTTGGTAAGTAAGTTTTAAGCGCTCAAACTCACCTTATTTTTGCCCAAATTCCGCACCGAACACGCCAGTATAGCCTCACGTCCTGCCGGATATGTGACATTACTAATGGTGCCCAAGAATTCCGGATCCGGATCGAGCTGTGAATTCGGCTCTGTAATATAAGTATAAACTAATATTGAGCAGTAGCTTACATTGCTATGAGTTGGTGCTTTCAAGAAACTTGGTTGAAATAGTTATACTGGCCATACTTACCATGCAGATTCTGTGAGCTTGAGTTGGGACACTGGGTCGCCATGAAAAAGAATACGATGAACAGTGGCTTGATTTGTGACATTTTTGTCTTTTGTATTAGTCTCTAACGCTTAATTTTCTTAATATGAAGTGAGCTTTTTGAGCTTTATTAGTGAAAAGTTTGTAATTGCCTTTGGCTTAATGTGTGTGTGTCGAAAACAGTGCTTTTGTTGTTTTTACTCTTTGAAATGGAAACTTTCGATCACAGTTTTGGATAATTTCCTGTTAATTTTTACTTTTCTTGGAAGTTACTAATTTTTAATTAAGCTTTCTTGTCAAAGTTTTTTTCAGAGTATTTTAAAGAAATTTTTAAAATTTTACTTTTGTTTCCCGTAGCTTTATCTCTGTTATAAACGAGTTTTGTTTATAATATTTTTCTCTGAGCTTTAGAAAAGCTTTCTTTATGCCCTCTGATGCTTTTTAGTTACGCGTTCCTGTTTGTGTTGTAAGCATTTATTATGAGACTTTGTGTTTGTACTGCTTCTTCTTCTTCTACTACTTGCTTTCACGTGCTCCCTTTCAGCACTCCTTCAAACTTCCTTGATTTATGCTCCTTTTGTTTGACACTTTTCACAACTTATTACAGCGGCAACATTTCCGTTATTATTCAAGTAGTTTATTGAAGTCCAAAAGAAAGCCCGCAAACCCACCTGTAACGAAGGAATAAAGCGAAGAAAGTAAGAAGTGTTGAATAAATTGAGCAAAGCCTGCAACGGGACAAGTGGCGCATAAGTGTTTTTTTATTTTTCTCCTTTTTTTAATACTTTTATATTTTTTTTTAATTTTTCGAATTTTTTCTCTTTTATTCATATTGCAAAGCTCAGCAGCATTTATTTACATTTACATATTGTATTGCTTGTGTGCGGCAACTTTGAACGGTAAGCACTTTTCAGCTGACCGCAGCCAACTTAATGAACTTTAATTTAAAAAAAATCCGTTTGTGTGTTTAAGTGTGCGTGGCGATTTGTGTTTGCATTTGTTTGTGTTTGTGTGCGGGTGTTTAATGTGGTGGAAAAGAGTAAGTAGTGAAATGGTTTAAGTATGCGGGAGGCAGGCAGTTAAGTTGTGTACAAAATTTGCTAGCGCGAAGAAAATTACAAAATCTAAAAGATATTGAAAACAATTTGCAATTAAAAAGAAAAAATAAATAATACAAATTAAAGAGATGGACTAATACCAACAGTTTGGCAAATAGCTCCATGTCTAAGGTTAAAAAAACTGCAGCCAACTTAAGGGCAACGCGAGGCTAAATGAAAACTACCAACAATGCTTTATAATAATATTTAGTAAGAGCTAAAATTGTAACAAAGTCAAGAAAGTATTGCAAGCTGAATTCCAAGTTTTAATACTACGAATTATTACAGGGTGGTGCAAGGCTAAAAGTTTGGCTGGCGAAAATTATAGTTTATTTAAGAAAAATATGTACAATAGTATTATGCAAAGTATTGCCCATCTGAAGCTATACAATTTTCACAGCTCTCTGCTAATTTTTGAATACCGTCCCAAAAGATCTCCGCCGGCTTGGCGACCAAGAAAAAATTAAGCTAATCTTTAATACTCTGTTCTGATGTAAAGCTTATAACAGTGAGGGTATTCTGCATCGACCGTAACAACTGGTGGTCAAATCGGTCAAAATCTGGGCTATAAGTCAGTTTAGCAAAATCTTCCCAGCCGCTGTTTTCCAAATAGTTTTTAACCGGTCTTGCAACATGAGGTCGAGCGTTGTCATGGTGAAAAATTATTGCCTCGTGTCTAGTCGCAAATTCCATTGATGGTTTCACTCGATTCTAAAAGCTCATAAGACACACGCGCTTCTGATCCTGCCAAATACAGAGCATTAACCTAGCGTCAAGGATATTCGGTTTTGCTTTTGATTTGTCTGATTGGTCAGATTGCACATATGGTTTATTGCCTTTAAGGTTATCGTAATGTATCTATTTTTCATCACCAGTCTGATCAACGCAATCGCGATCGTACGCGTTTCTTTTATCGTAACAGCCAATTGCAAATGACTTTTTACACCTTTGCTCAGCTAGAGCTTTTTCACCATTAAGTTCCAACAAAATACGATGACTTTCGGCTGAGGTTTTTTTCATATGAAATAATTAATGAACTTCCAACAAAAAAACCTTTTAAAGGCACAAAGTTCAACGTATTTGAGTGAACAAATATTGTTGTTTACGCTTCCAATGAATGACATATACTGCAAAAGACGCAAAAGGACAGAAGCTTAACAACTAATGTTCGGAATATTGGCACAATTGAATAAAAATTAAGTTACGCCGTCTCTTGGGAAACCGCATTAATATTGACCTAATATTTAGAGCTTATATAACTGACTCTCTAACTAGCTAAGTGAATCCAGTTGATTTCATAAATGGCAAAATATCTAAAATGTCAGGTTATTGGATATTTTTTTATTGTTGTAGGGTAGAAAAAATTCATGAAATAATAAGTAGGATTGCTGTCGAGTTGACGATCCCTAGACAAAGTAAAATTTAGGATCCATTCTGTTTACATAGACGCCATTGCCATGAGTTTGGATTGGATATGGTCACCGACCAAATCTGATAAATTAGCTTTGCAGTAAATAAAGATTCTAGTAACGTTCAATTTCCTTTCAGGATTTTTACAATATTTAGTACATAGGAACGCAAGGACTATCAGCTTTTTGTTGCTAAAAGTAACACTTTTAAGATTTCTCTATAACGATGAATTTGAGGATATACATATAAATAATTAAATTTATCTGGGAAGAAATAAATTTTATGGGTCTTATTGGGGCTGATTTTCTTGCCTTAATCATTATAGTTAAATAACTGGCTAGTTTAACGGTCTCAACCTTCACCCTTAATTCTCTTAGAAAAGTTTGTATTGCGCTAAAAACATTCTGTAAGCCGCCTCGCTACCTTTTAGAATTATAGAAAATTATGTTGTCTTCCAATTTCTGGTTATCTCTCACTTTTCATGCTCATTGAGGACTTGCTGTTTGTGGCCGTAGTAGAATTTCTTTCACTTCTACTAAAAACGGTTATTATAAATTCGGTTATGCAAAAGAGGACGGAAATTTGAGAGGAAACTGAGAGAGATAGAGAGAGAGAGAGAGAGTGAAATATAGAATCTTTGTTTTGCCTATGGTGACTGCAGTTTTATGAGTTTCAGTTTTCCTTTTTCACGGTGTTTATTACCTACTTATTTGCTTTTCTGCGATAACAACTAAATAGTACGATTAGTGTTGATACAACAAAATTGATTAGTGTCGACTATGAAAAATAGTGTTTCCGTTTTGACCAATGCTAAAAACCACCAGAAATGTTTCGGAATCGGAGTGGGAGTAGAGATATTTGAAAATAAAGCTTTGGCTTTGAGGCACACTTTCATTGAAAGACAGATCAACACCAATAGGTTAGATTATGCTAATACCTCATAGGAGAGTTGGGAGTAGAAGTATGTGCGATTTGAAGTGGGTATTGGGCTCTTGTCCGGCTTATATCAAAGAGTTCTGGATTCTGTAGATACCCAGGATCTATATCATTAAGAAAGAGCTAGTTATTTTGTGGGTCGACAATTTTTATGACTTCAAGAACGTATCTCCCATAAAGTTTATTCTGGCATAAAAGTCATGTTTAAGTACTCATCTGAACCATTTTCAACACCATTTTCTGTAGATAAAATCAAATAAAAGCAATTTTTCTTTTGTTTGCACTTTTATTACAAGTGAAATATATGTTTTTCTTGCTACTTTCAGCTTTCATTTAAAATTTCAAATATGACCCGTTAAATGGCATAAAAAATGATGAAAGGAGCACATAGCCGGTTAAAAGCAAACAAGTGGCCTAATGGCAGCAACAATTACTAACTAAACACACACACACACACATATACCTAAATAGATGCAACAGAGAAGTGTAGAATAGCGAGAAAAGGCAATTTTGGAGCAAATCAAGAACCCAGATTTGCAACGATAGCCAGTGGCCTAGCCAGGTTAGCCGAGGATACGGCATCGGCTTTAGCGGCTGCGGCTAACGGAGCAATGCGCTGAATTTTTCATGCAACTTCAAGTCAAAGTGTAAATATTAAAAAAGTTTCAACCAAGCGCCCGACCAGCAACACATAGCCAAATTACTCCCTTGTGTTTTGGCTTTTAGTGCAAAGCGACGCTTGTACGCATTGAAAAAGCAGTGCTGAATGCGAGCACAAGACAAACAGCGCGAAAAAAGTGCAATTCAGCTGTGGCAAGGCGAGGCAATTGCGAATAGATTCTACAAAACTCCAAAACAAACGCATTGGTCGACATTCAAAGCCTACGAGGTTGTACGAGGAAGCGTGGGTGCTTAGGATGGGCTCTCCATAGACTGTACACCTGCGGGAGTGTGGGCGCACTGACGGTTTTCAAAAAATGTGCGGCAATGCTAAAGTCGGCGCCAGCTTCCCCACATATAACTACTTTATTTTCGGCGCACAACGCACAACTTTTAAAAAACGCTGGCAAATCCGAAGAATAAATGGAAAAACTACTACAACTACTACACGTACATGCTTTAATACTTATATTTGCATGAAACTGCCAAAACTACCGTTTATAAAGTCAAAAGAAGTTTTTCGTAAACGAAAATTGCATAGAAATTAAAAAGCCAGATACACAAACCCTTTTTTGTTGAGCGTCAAGCATAAAAAGAAACATACTTGCTTTATGAAAGCACAAACACGCACTCATACATATCAAAATATAATTATATGCGTGAGTGTGTGGGTGTGTGTATAAAGATTACTGCTGGAGAAAACACTCACGTTTGTGGTAAACAAATCCAATTAGAAAAGAAAGGAGAGAAAAAAGGGAAAGGAGCTCAGAAATAATAGCAACCAAAAGAAAACTGTTATTCCGGAAGCTTTATACCCTTCACGAATTAAAACTGAGTTATATCTAAATAAAAAAGAACGTATGCATATGTTGGTTCCATCGCTATGACCTTCGTTTTTCACTTTCGCTTCATTATAACTAATTGTTTTGTATCAAATATTCACCCCAAATATTCAATTAAAGGATTTATATATATGCTATAGCAGTCCGTTTTTGAAAAATTTCAGCATAATGCTTGTACTTATGATAAGTAAACAGTTCACTTAATTTTGGTGCTTTTAACTGCTTTATTAAAGAAGTAATAATACAAATTTTCGTTTTTGAACGATCGAATGCTTGGGAACCTTATGTTATAACTGTTCGATAACAATAATTTTCACCGAGTTAATTTTGCTTGTGGTTAGCGATAGTTTTACCAATTTTTTTACTCTAAGGTATTTTATTAAAGGAGTTGCAACACAAAAACTCATTTTTGAACGATCGGTTGTAAGAAAGCTATGTGATAAAGTGCTGCGATTTCGATACTTTTCACTGTGTTGTTTCTATTTATATACTACTTATATACATATACTTTTTAATGTTCCGTCAAATTTGATGCTGTTGGCTGCTTTATTAAAGGAGTCATAATTGAAAATATCGTTTTTGAACGACCGTTTTTACGGCAACTTTATGTTCTAATTGCTAAATTTGGATAATTTTCAGCGAAGTAGATTTACTTTTAATTATTCAAGTTTTTTACCAAATTTTCTGCTCTTAGCGGATTTATAAAAGAGGTGATTAAAAATATCT